TGCAGGTGAGGTGGACGACCGAGAGCCAGGCCTCGGCGCGAAAGCCTTGCCTGGAAACACTCCCCTGTCCGAGTTCAGATCCGCGAAAAGTGAAGAACTTTCGCGGGTCAAATGGCTGAGGCTCAATAAACCGGTACCAAAATGAAACCCTGGGAAGTGGAAACATGGACCAAAACCTGCGCAACCCCTCCGATCGTTTAATTTTGAGCCACAGCCAAATGGAAACCCCTACTAAGCACGAAAAAGATCGAAAAAGCTGAGGAACCGGATGGCTGGGAGCCGCCAAGACTCCAGTCCCGGATCTCTCGGCCGAAAAAATCGACTTGCGAGCGGTGTGCCGGGCATGCGGTACAGCTGACTGAGCATCGTTGAAGCTCTGTACTCCAAACACAACGATGTGACAGAAACAAGTGTAAGCCTCCGTCGATCCAAGACCTTCAAATGTCCCACTCAACTAACATCGTACAGTCGTACAGTAAGAGCATTGGCGCGCACCTGAAAAATCTAAAAAATGTCGGCATATGAGTTTTCCCCCACTTCGAGGGTCACACGCTGAGGCTTTGTCGCTTTGCTCTGTCTGAGAACGGAAATCTGCCCAGCTGGATACTCTATGTGGTACAAACTGACGGACCCCCCATGTGAGTCAGAATCAAAACCCGGTACCGCGGTATTGAAATGGTCTACCCAGAACCATGCTTCAAGAATTAAGAAGGCGGATCTCCGCAGCTATTTCCGGCTGGGATTGTCCCTTACTAACCTTCATCTACCCGAATCGGTTTTGCTGTGGCTCAGAAACTCTATCTTCGTGGTAAAAACTCACGGACCATTTTCTGTTACCGGCCCGAGCGAGCGCCGAACCGACTGGACGCCCCGGGCGGCATTGCCCGCTCCGGAGACATGCCGGCCCGCACGTCCCTCGTGGACACCTCGCTGCCCGCCTCGAGCAAACGACCGGGGGATTCGCCCCTTTGCTTTTTCTGTCCGGAGGAAAAATGGGGAGAGAATCTGTCCAGTGAAATCGATGCCCCTGAAAAAAACCAAATGGGGAACATGAGAAAGATAACAATTTTCAGCAAATGGGAGCAATCAAGCTTAGAGAAGCGAACGCCTCCCTACACCTTCTGAGTCCCATCAGGTCATGCACCTTTGATTTCCAGACAGCCTCAAACGAGCCGGGGCACAAATGCCATAGACTCATCATTGAGGCCCCAAAAAGGCATCCAATAAACAAAAGACCCTCCCCGTTGGCTCCTTGGGATCCATCATGTTGCCATGCAAATCGCTTGGCCCACCTCCCGTGCTCAGCCAGCTTGCCAGAGCCAACATAGACAGGGGTAACTTCCATTTCCATTCTGAACCCAGAAATCCGGATCTTTCTAGAAAACCACCCTTGAAACCCTGCAAACATGGATCTGGTTGTTGAAAACGATGGCTGAAAAAAATGGACAAGAAATCAACCCCAGAAGAATAGCTTGTTCATCCCACCCCAGGAACGGAGGAACAAATTAAAGCCTCCATGTCCAGAACAAACATGAGCGCTCCTGCACAAGTTACTAGAAACAGGCTACCCCAGCTTTTCATATGTGTTCCACATTCTCATGGGCATCAATAATCTTGACATACTCAAGCTCTATTTCACAGCTGTGTCGGGAAGCAATGTAAATAAGGCAAACAAGGTGCAATACGGCCAATCGTCCTAAGCGCAAGATTGCGACGAAGTGGACATGGAAAACGGGTCCAAGCATGGCACAATAATCGAATCAGATGCTCGAAGTATCCCTGTGTCAAGCTGCAGGGCCCAGGCGGGCACGTTGCCGGAGCTGCCGATCGGGGATGTTTCCCTTCTCCACGCCTGGGGCAGGTATCGGAGGGGCTGCTCAACCCCCTTGGTCAACAGCAACCTGCTGGCACCTGAGGTTGTTTTTTTTTTGTTTTGTAAAGGGGAACAACAACTCGGAGGTGTTGACGTTGAACCTGGAAGGGTCCTTGCCCAAGGGTGTGGAAAACCGGATGGCAGAGGTTTCGTCCCTGTATGACAAGTGCTGGAAAGGATCCTGGTCAGTCCTCGAAGAAGGACAATGCTGTGGTCACTGGTCAACCATCCGTTCCCTCCCTTCGCAAGAGCCAAAAGTGCCGAACATAGCTGTGGAAAAAGCAGGTCGTCAGCTCAATCAACTGGACACGCTGAGCCGAACGTTGGGAATGGCAGTCAAAGAAGCAGGTATTCAGTTCAATGAACCTGGAACAAACATCAGATGTAGCTGCCGAGCAAGCCCCTCGGACATAGAAAGCAAATGCTTGCCATCGCCTAGAGGGGCAAGCGGCCCATCCAACGTGCACGTAAAAGATTACATGTACGTCCTCGGAACCAGCTCCAGAACTCCGGGATGCCCCTTATGGGTGTGTGTGTGTGTGTGCCTGTGCGTGTGCGTGTCTGTCTGCCTGCCTGCCTGTCTGCCTGCCTGTCTGCCTGCCTGTCTGCACGCCTGGCTGCCTGCCT